ACATGATATATGTAGCATCGCAAACAAAAAAAAATGTGAAACATAGTTTGAAGGCGGGTTATCAACACTTGTGTACCTGTAGAAGCCAAAATTCAGCAAGCTGTTAGTCAATATCAGTTGTTTTTTTTCTTGCTTACGCCATTCTTGGCGCCAGAATGTCAGATAATCATTGCTCTTTCGCGATATTTCTCGAATCTTAAGTTGAAATGTATCATCTTCATCTAGTAGATAACTGTCTGGTTGTTTAGGATTGATTTGAAGACGGCTTCGTAGAACAGGATGATGACGCTGCAAGAGGCTAATTGCCGCAGACAATGTTTCCCGAGAAATAAGAGGTCTATAGAGGTGCAAGACTTCATCAACTGTCGTGTATCCTTTATGTTGCTGCGATGCCTGCATCAGAACATTTTCTGCTGAACCAAGCAACCGTTGTTTTTGGTTAACAACAAGCGAATTATTTTGTCGAAACCAGGAAAGCATCTATTTGCAAGAAAATCGATATATGAGCCAACTAATTGAATAAATAGACAAGAGAAAATTGACTTTAGAAATTTTAAAAATAGAAAATCATGTCATCTAATTAAGCCGACTACAGTTACAAAATTTCATCAAGGAACAGACGCAATCAATGAACATAGTCATTGTAAGACGTCAAGATTTTTAAATTTCATTGGCTAAAAATGTAAAAGATATTTTTAGTAAAGATACGATGCTTTGAAATAAAAAGAAAAATTGTGTTCGAGTTTTTGTTGACAGTCTAATGCTATATGACTCAAAATAAATAATTGTTTTGTAGGAGTCTGATTTAGTTCTCTCAAGTTTTAGATCATAAGTCGCCTAAATTGAGTTCGACTATAATCAAAAGTCGAAGTACCTGCTTTGAATTGCAAAAACAAATCGAAAAATTTTGATACGGCCCACCACAAAAAAAATGCCAAATATACTAGAGACAAACTATATCTCAATAATAATATGAATTTAAGATAGAAAATCATGCAGGTATTTATTGAATACGTTCTAAAGTAATAGATAAGACACAAGTTTCGCTCATTAGTTCAATTTCACTTTCGAAAAATATATGACAAACTTATTTCAATCCAACATGTGGAAATAATTATTATTTTGATGCTATTGTCCTGGAAACTATCTTAAGAGCGAGATGTGAGAGCTGAAGAAATAACACAGGATGTATCAATAGAATGAGGGTAAAAACACATGTATTACGCTTAATTTTATCTGTTGTATTCATTATAGTGATAATTGAGGTCAGATATATAGTTCTCTTTATGAATTTTAGTCCGGTCTTCTAATTATAGAATGAATTGTCGTTGAAGAACTTTATCAGTAACTGAATCCCATGTAACCTTATTTGCAATACAAAATAATTCTGGCTACGGGGTATATCTTGATATGGAGAACAAAGACAAAGTTGCTCGAGACACAGCATCTGTTTGATAATTTATTTGGTTAATTTTGATAGTTGCATAAAGTTTCGATCATTCAATTCATTTCTTTTTATTTAGGGCAGCGCCAAAAACTTCTACACAAGCTAATGTGATATTCACAGAGCATATTTGCATCTATTCTTTCTTTCTCACTTCTACAAAAAAAAGCCCTCAATGGTATAGCAATCGTAATCGTATAAGAAATTAGCTGCTTATATGTACTCACTGTCGAACAGAAACCAAGAAATAAATCTTCGAACCACTCAAGAAAGCATACAAGAGTGTCTATGAGTATATTTAGGTTATTGTCATTATTGAGATGACAAAAATAAGGAATGGTAAAAGATACAGCGTAATCTTGACACACTGTTTTTCTTCGATTCTCTCTCTGTCGAAAGAACAAAAGGATAAGTCATAGAAGATACGTAAGAATATTCCTTTATTTGCTTTTAGAGCAAAGAACATGAGCAACATGAAAAAGAGATCGAGTAAAACAGAATAGGAACGTGCGATGAAGTATGTCATCAATGAGTCATTCGATATATATATATATACATAGATCATGCTATTTAATATTTTGAATACTCTCTTTCATACATTTTCTGCTAAATACTTATTTTCCTTTCAAATACTATAATTATGAAGTTAAATATACAATGATCATACGAAATTGTAGAATACTTGTATAGTTTCCTATTAATAAATCTCTTTTAGATATATAGAAAACAATTAATACAAAAAAAATGTCTCGAACTTGGATGTTTATCGATAAACGACATGTCTTGGTCCTGAAGTGAAATTCTAATATTGATGAACTATTGCATTGACTTCAAGCAATAGATAGACCCTCATGCTAGAAAAATATGGAGTGGAAAACACATTAAAGTTCTTCTATTCGACTGATCTGTAATTCGACAATTTCTAGTTCTAAACTGAAGTTCAGATCTGACCTGACTTATACTGAAAGCGACACAACAAAATCATGCCTTATTAGTCTTTTACTTTTAAACATATTTTTCAATACATATATACTACTTCACGAATAACAATTTAGCGATCAACTTTATAAATAATAATATTTGACTTATTTAAGTTAGTATATCGCTAGAATAAGTATCAATGTATGTGTTTTGAAGTTCATAGTGTTCTGTAGAATCAAGTGTATCGTAGCTGAGTCATCGATGAGTTGTACACATCTGGAAATCAATAAGTGTTGCTCAGGACGAATAAATTCCATAAATAATAGATATTATTATTTTAAGCTTTTACATCAAATATTTTCATTTAGCTACTTTACAACATTACTAAATCGTCCAAAATTAAAGATAGGAGCCTTTTAGATTTCAAAACAAGATATAAAAAGGCTTGATTTTTCGTATTTTCGCCGCGTTTTCTCTTTTAAGAATCTAAATATGGTAATACTTCCAAGTTTAATGTCTTTTCATCAGGTTACAAAATGAAATAGACATCTGTCTAATAAAATTCGAATCAGCATTCACATTACTATATGAATGAATTCTATCACAATGATAATTCTTCTATAGTTTGTTTCATATTATATGTTGTAAAACAATTTAAACTTTTACTTTAGAAAGAAAACAATTCTATTTGCTTATTTTATTCACTAAACGCTACCCTAATAATTTGTGTTGAATTCTAAGACAAAACTTTGCTAATCATATTTTCTGATTTATTTATATTGCTATATAACATGTAAAATTAGTATCTAATATAGAATTTTTCGATAGAATGTATTTAGAAAAATCTGAGTATTAGATGGTGGTCTATGATTGTTGAATTGACATGGATAAGGTTTCGATCGACACGTGTTTAATTGTATTTATGAATTCAAAGGAATCCAGAATATTATGTCTTTAAACAATAAGAATATAGGATAATATTTTAAGCATCCACACTTTATCATGTAGACTCGTTCAAAGGCTTCTGAAAAATATGTTGCTTTTAATTTGTAAAGCAAACAATCATTATGATAAAAGTATTGAATGAAGCATTATCGAATATCAAAATATTTTCTTCTCAAATAGCTTTTACTGATTAAAATCATTGTATTCCTATTATCACTGTAGTCAAAATACATGTAAAGTAGTTGTTTTAAAAAAATTTTAAATGTCTTAGCTAATTAATTTATCACTTCAATAAACAAGTATTATTATTTGTATTTTAACAAAAAAAAAATTATTTGATTAATTAATCTAATAGCAAATTCATCAAAGAAATTTCCAACTCTTACAAAAATTGAGATATCAAATCTTAAATAGATACTAGTTAATAGTTCTGGAATGTGTAGTTGTTCATCTATTCATTAAACCATCATTAAAAGAATATGAGAAAGGACTTTTGATTCTCTTAGTTTTGGTTATACAAAAAAAATCACCTTGGATTTTAAGTTCGAATTAATTGAGAGAGAAGTTTATTTTTGTTTTCTTTTGAAACATGTGAAAAATTAATTCATTATATCATATATTCCTCAATATCAATGATCAAAACTGATAATATAGCATGTAGGGTTGTACATATAAATGTGATGTGCCCAACGTTGTAAATCTAGTTTTAATTCAAGTCATTGAGTTAAATAATATATTAATATGTACTCATGCTATTCATTTATGCTTGACGAGTCCAAAATGTTCATTATGACCTTCATGTAATATAGGTCGATGCAACTATGCACGCATTACAAAACTATCTTTTCACTAAAATTATTATACATTATAAAAAGGACGTGCATTTTTAATTGTAACAGACATGACATATCGTTCAAAGTTTCTGGATTTTTCTTCTGTGATTCATGCAAAACATTAATATCAACAAAATTACAAAATTGGTTAGAAAAGGTTACAAATAATTTCAGCAAGTACTGTAATATTGTTGGTCATGATAATGCATATAGATAATAGAACTATCTTTTGTAGACTCTAGCAAATGAATAAACATGATATTTAAATATAGATTAATGTTTTAATAACAATACGTGCAAATTCAATTGTAAAATGCAGTGTATCAAATTCGATACTAGTCATGTTCATCAACATCTAAGATATATGTGTTAATCATGCTAATAAAGTGACCTTTCAAAGAAGAACTAACAAAATATCTGATTGGTGGATTTTATAGAATAAGAATAGAACAATATTTTCTATTTATCTTCTATTAATTTTGTATTAGTGAAAGTCTATCATATAGAGTAAATGCAAAGACTGGTTGCAATGTTAACTGTAGAAAAAGAAAAGTTATTCTGCACTCAAAAAAAAAGATGTTTTCTTCATTAGTCTATTAGTCTGATGAGATTAATATCGATTTTTTAATCTCAAGCTTTTGTATAATAAAATTCTGTCAAGAATTTGAGTTAAATTAATTAAGCAACTTCAGTTATTATTCAACATTTCAAAATCGGATGAAATATTTTAGATTTTATTAAATCTTATTAAAAAATTAGTTCTACACTTTGCATGAATATAGTCTTAACAAAAAAAAAACAACAACAATTAATTAAAAATTTTCGAGAACTTTAATATATAATTCTTCAACTTATAATTATCGAAATGTATCTGATGTACATCGATTAATATAAATCTTTGCATCACTTCCACTAGTTAATGTTGAGCGATGATGCAATATTGGTGTTGATGTACCAGAAATATCATGCTTTGGATTTCGTCTATATGATAAACGTTGATTCATATATTGAGGAACACAATCTTTTGGAGAAGATAATTTAGTTGAATGATGTCCTGAAACTAATAATTCAGTTGGTCTACAAAAAATAATATTTGCAAATGCACGTCGAAATGTATCACTAAATATTGTGTATATAAATGGATTAGCCATAGATGAACTATAACCAAGCCATGTTATTGAAAACCAAACAGTTGATGATAAATGATCCCGACATGATACACATATAGCTGATATAAATGTACAAATAAAAAATGGTGTCCATAATGTAACAAATACACAAAATATAATCATTAAAACTTTTAAAGCTTTTCGTTCATTAGCTGCAACAATATCTTCATCACGTACGCGTTGTTGAGACGAAACAACTGAATGTAATCTTGAAGGATAATGATACATAATAGATGAAGAATCGGATGAATTTGTATTTGTTGGTGAACTTAATTGTTGATGTAGTTGTCGTGTTTTGGATGAATGTGGAATAATATATCCTGATCGATATTGATATTGTTGTCGTCGCAATGGTTTATGATAATGTGCAAATATATGATTGTCTTGACGATTTGTTGTATGTAAAATGCTAGATAATGATGTTGATGCACGTGAACGAAGGTCAACAGTTAAAATAGGTTCTAATTCAGATTCCATTCGGCAAGAATGATTAGATGAATATGGTTGTCGTATTTGATTTGGTGATGATACTGCAGATGGACGTCGACTCGATGAAAAAGAAGATTTTGATGAACTACCACTTGAATGTATTGGTAATGTTGGCATATGACGCAATAAACTTGTTAACAAAGATGATGATGTTAATATTGATCGATTAAAAGGAAATTTTCGTCGTTTAGGTGAAGTATATACATATTGTTCACTAATAGTAGTTGGATAAATATTATTAGGAGAGTTTGATTTCAAAAAAGGAGTTGTTTGTGTTGAAACTGATTGATGATATTTTATTGGTGTTAAACAAATTGATGATATTGACGTTGATTGATGTACTTTTACTGGTTTTTCATCTATATTTGATGAATATTTAATTGATAAAGGTCGTAATCGATAAGGAAAATAGAATATATAATAATGAAGAATATATTGAATAATGTTAAAACAAGATTTCCATGGAATTTTTAAAAATATTGGTTCAGTTGGATGAGACAAAGCAAAATGTTGAAATGATGATAAAGCTATTGGCATGTGAACACATTCACGTATATCAGCTTAAAATACAAAAAAATAAAATGATTTCTTATCCATTTGAAAACGCAAATTTGATGAATGCGATTTTTTTTTTTGTCCAATACTAATTACTCTTGTTTTTTAGTTACGAAAAACTTTACATATTTTGTTTAAAAGAATATGAAACATTTATATAGATTATTGAAAAGTTACATTAGAATCTATTTTTTAATAGACATGTAATACAGAGTGCTTATAAAAGGGTTGATGTAGATGAAAGATAACCGGAAGAACTATTATCTGAAAATGTTTAATTCTATCTTAAATAATTATAGTAAATAATATATGCCGCTTTTAATGTTGTATATGTTTCAAAAAAAAAAATTTTTTTATTGAGAAAAATTAGATGATACAGACTTATTTAATAAAGTTTCATCTATTATCGATAGATATTTAAGGAAAACAGATATTTCCATAAAAACGTCTTGAGAAAAAATGAATTCATGATTTGGTAGAAATAAAATGTTATTGTTTTGTGTTGAGTAAGAACTATGTTTTTCGGCAAAAAAAAAATTCAATTCCTAATTCTTGTTAGGCAATAAGATATTATTTTTTTTTTATATTTTTCTATGAACTTACTTATAGTATCCATATTTAATATTGTACTAGATTCTTCTTCAAGTGATAATGTATTGTTAATCGCTGATGTTATTAGATTTGAGTTTTCTAATTGTTCGGTTTTATTTATTTCGTCTAAGACTTGTTGGTCGTTATTAAAAGTTGATCTTCGAGTAACATTATTATTTGCAATAGCTGATACGTCATTTGAACTTGATGTTGATTTAGAACATTCAGTTGTCTCATAAACAGTACTCATATTTATATTATTTTCTTTTCTATGTATTGCCGTATTGATTGTTAGTGTTTGTTGTTGATAACATCGGTTTTTACTTCCATTTGGTTTAATATAACTTAAATTTAAATGTTGTACATTATGACCAATTGCATCATTATTAATATTAGATCCATTTGTCATATCTTTTGAACTATTATCTTGCTGTAAATTTATATTTGTATTATTTGTAGAAAATAATGATGTGCGAGAATCTGTTGGTGACGTCGTTTTTTTTATTGTATATAGTGTTTTGTTTAAAATAGAATTATTATCATTATTGTTATTATTATTGTTATTATTATTATTATTATTATTATTATTATTATTTGTTGTTGTTTTTGGAATTGTTTGGTTATTTGCTGATGATGTATGTCGAATACCTTGAGCTATCTCAGCATATTGACTTATTATCTGTGCTAATGGTCGAAATGTTTGTTTTCGTCGTCTTTCACGATTATATTTTCTTTTATGAACTAATACATTTCTTAATGAACGCATTGTTAATGCATATGTTGTTATCATTATTATGAATGGAATATAAAAAGCAAAAATTGAACCATAAATTTTAAATGATGCATTATTTGGTGCACATGTACCATTTGATAAAACATTTTTTTTATTAACAATCCCTAATACAAATACAGGTGATGATACAGCTGCACTGATAGCCCAAACAGCAACTATTTTTAGAAACATAATACGACGAGTTTTATTTCTTCCATAACGAAATGGAAAACGAATGGTAAAATATCTATCCATCGACATTGTACTCATATGCCATATAGACGATGTACAACATAATACGTCCAAAGTAGCAAATATAACACATGCATAGTCTGGTAATGGAAAACCACCTAAAACTTCAGTAATCATTCCCATTGGCATGACTAGAATAGCAACAAGACAATCTGCAATTGATAATGACATAAGAAAATAATTTGTAGTATTTTGTAACTTTCGTTCACGAGCTATAGCTAAACAAACTAGAAGATTGCCAGCAGCAGTAACAAAAATGACTAGAATAAAAAAACAAATATAATAAAGTTTGTTTCATTGATGTCAAGTTTTGTTAAAATTATTTCTGATTACTATCAAGTGTGCTCGTGGAATAAATCATATCAGCCTATCATTTATTTAACATGATTATATGAGCATTGAGAGCTGTTCTTTTCTGGATCAGTATTTTCTTTTATATGTCATCAACAAGAAAATAAAAAAAATATTATCAATAATACTACACTTACTAATAACTAACAGGAAACGATACCACATTATTCGTACGAACGGTTGAGGAATTTTATTATTCAAGAGTGTCAAGTTTTTTTCGTCAACAATCCATATAGCAGCTGATGAGGACGTGGACGGTTCCTTAATATAAAAATATATTTATATATAAATCGGTGACAAAAGAATAAAGCTAAAAAAAGGAATTGAAATATCGAGAAAGAAAGGTGTTCCTGTCGTTCAAGGTTTCAATAAAATAAAAAGGAAATTTCATGTTATCTGCACAGTCGAACACTGATTAAAGGCGGCTTCTCTTTCTTATTTTGGTCTTCATCATGACGACTACTAATAGGAGAGACGATAAACTTCTCGTTTGTTGTCGCTCTTGCTTTTCTTCGTCATTGCCTTTCGCTCATTCCTCTTGACAGAATATTCTTTTATATCTTATTTAGATATATTCATAATAACACTACTAACGCAATACCATTGAAGCAGATCAAAAAAAACCATTATCGACTCATTTTTACGACAAACAAATATAAGAAAAAAAATATTTGCATTATTGACGAAGCATATTATTTTTAAATTAGTACCTTGTGACAGATTATAAAAGATAACTTTAAACAGAAGACGACACCTGTTAGCTCTATAAGTAAGCCTATCAAAGACTTCATGGTATTATTATATTTAATGTCAATATGGTTCAAAAGGATGCTCTGTATCAATATTAATATTTTTTTTATTTTTTTCTCATCATTACTAGATATTAGATGAGAATATCTTAAGAATTTGATCAATACTTACAACAAGTGAACGACGCACAACTGTTAATAACGATGATGAATAATTAGGATTAAACATTCTTTCTTTTTCTATAGAAATTACTTGAATCTGAATAAATAAAAATAATCATGATGATAAAAACGAGTTTAAAAAATATAAAAGGGGACATTGCTCATTTTCAATTTAAAACTATACTAAAGATAGTAAAGTGCTCACCATATTATTATTTAAACTGCTTTAAAAAAAAATTTCTTTTAAAATATGGTGTCAATCTTGAGAAAAGAGAAGGTGTATATGATGTTGTTTTGAATCAAAAATAGAAGAACTTTACATGTCAGGCTATCTAAACAGAATAAAAATGAGTTTTCTTCTTTTTCTTCCAATTGCTAATAGGTAATTTCACGACGACATAAGCTAAATAATTAAAAGGTATGTTCTTGATTTATAGTCAAAAACAAAAGTTT